TTGGACAGAGAAGCTCGCCTTCTCCTCCCCTTTCTGGATCTGTGATTGTTTCTCTGTGGGTCTGACCTTAGACGCGTGGTTCTTCTTGATTGGATATCGTTTGCCTTCGTTTACGGCTTTTATATTTTATCTTTAAATGGCAGCAGCATCTCCTGATCTCTCAGAGGTTAACTCTCCTTCTATTGTTGCAAATATAGCTCAGTCAGACAATGCATCATTTGGTTCAAGTTCGGACTATGCTGCACTCCAAACCCCTCTCAGGAAGGCTTCTCCTCAGTCTCAGCCTTATACTGGTAATCCTGTTGCTTGTGTTTCTCATTCTACATCACTTGGCACTTGGATATTTGACTCCGGTGCTACCGATCATCTCTGTGGTAATAAGGAACTCTTTACATCTCTTACTTATTATGATCATTTATCGTCTTTTACCCTTGCGGATGGAACCAAAGCCCCAGTTCGTGGGATTGGACAAGCTCGTCCAACCTCTACCTTGGCTCTGACATCTGTCTATTACATTCCTGGCATCCCTTATAACTTAATTTCTATTAGTAAGTTGATCAACTCCCTCACTTGCACCATTACTTTCTCTAACCATTATGTTTCTGTGCAGGATCCGAGTACGGGAAAAATGATTGGAGTGGGTCGTGAGTCACGGAGGCTTTATTATCTGGATGTGCCTCGTCCTTCAGTAGCATCCTCTCTCGCAGAATCTCCACAACTTATCCACAGTCGCCTTGGTCATCCAAGTCTTTCAAAGTTGCAGAAAATGGTTCCTCTTTTGTCCGGTCTTCAGTCTTTAGATTGTGTGTCATGTCAACAAGGGAAGCATACACGCTCCTCTTTTGCCAGTCGAGTCAATAAACGAGCTGATGCCCCTTTCTCTCTTGTTCATTCAGATATCTGGGGTCCAAGTCGTACCTTGTCTGTCTTAGGTTTTCGGTATTTCGTTACCTTTATTGATGATTTTTCCCGTTGCACTTGGACCTATTTAATGAAAAATCGTTCTGAGCTATTTTCCATTTATAAAAGTTTTCTACTGAGATCCATACTCAATTTGGTGTTTTTATTCGTATTCTACGTAGTGATAATGCTAAGGAATATGTTTCTATTGATTTTTCTAATTTCTTGGCCACACAAGGTACTTTACATCAAACTACTTGTCCTCACACTCCACAACAAAATGGGGTGGCTGAACGTAAAAACAGACATCTCATTGAAACTGCCTGTACCCTTCTTATTCATATGCAGGTTCCCCTTCACTTCTAGGCAGATGTTGTACTCATCTCTTGTTTTCTCATCAATCGCATGCCTTCATCTGTGCTCCACAATGACATTCCTCATAATCTATTGCTTCCAGATGTTCCTCTTTATCCTCTAACTCCACATGTCTTTGGTTGTACTTGTTTTGTTCATGATCTCACTCCTGGTAAGGATAAGTTAACATCCAAGGCCTTTCAGTGTATCTTTCTTGGTTATTCTCGTCTTCAAAAGGGTTATCGTTGTTATTCTCCCGACCTTAAGCGTTACTTAGTTTCCACTGATGTCACTTTTCTTGATCAACAACCCTTTAATTCTATCCCATCTCAGATGTCACAGGTTGATCATGTACTTCCTGTCCCTTTTCTTGACTTGTCTTTGCCAGCTGTAGGTGCTTCTATTCCAGATGAGCAACCTATTACTTCTATACCTGAGGACCGTCCACTTCTCACCTATCAGCATCGCAAAACTGTGCCTTCTGTCGACTCAACTCTTGCTGACTCATCTCCCACTGTTGTTGCTTCTTCCCCTCCAGATCCTTCATCAGAGGCTCTTCCAATTGCTCAAAGAAAAGGTACACGTACTACTCGTAACCCTTATCCTCTTTATACCTTTTTGAGTTATGACTGTCTTTCTTCACCTCATTTCACCTTTGTTTCTAGTATTTCTTCTATTTCTATTCCTAAGACCACAGGTGAAGCACTTTCCCATCCAGGGTGGCGCCAAGCAATGCTTGATGAGATGACTGCACTTCATTCCAATGGCACTTGGGACCTTGTTTCTGCTCCTCCAGAGAAGTCTATAGTTGGTTGTCGCTGGGTTTTTACTGTGAAAGTTGGACCTGATGGCCATATTGATCGTCTCAAGGCACGTTTAGTTGCCAAGGGTTTTACTCAAATCTTTGGCCTTGATTATAGCGATACATTTTCTCCGGTCGCTAAGATGGCGTCAGTCCTCCTCTTTCTTGCCCTTGCTGCTATTCGTCACTGGCCACTCCTTCAACTTGACATCAAAAATGCCTTTCTTCATGGTGATTTACAAGAAGTTTACATGGAGCAACCACCTGGTTTTGTTGCTCAGGGGGAGTCTGGAAAGGTGTGTCGTCTTCGGAAATCCTTATATGGTCTCAAGCAGTCTCCTCGAGCATGGTTCAGTCGCTTCAGTTCTGCTGTTCAGGCATTTGGCTTAATCCGCAGTAAAGTTGACCATTCTGTGTTTTATAGGATTACATCTCCTGATAAGTGTATCTATTTGTTAGTCTGTGTTGACGACATTATTCTCACCGGAAGTGATCAAGACGGAATTCGTCAGTTAAAACAGCATTTGTTTAGTACATTTCAAACAAAGGACCTTGGGAAGCTGCGTTACTTCTTGGGAATTGAGGTGGCGCAATCCAGACAGGGCATTTCTATCTGTCAAAGGAAATATGCCCTAGATATCCTAGAAGAAACTGGTATGTTGGGGAGTAAACCAGTTGATACACCTATGGATCCTAATGTCAAGTTATTGCCCGGACAGGGGGAGCCGTTATCTGATCCTGGACGTTATCGGAGGCTAATTGGGAAGCTCAACTATCTTACTGTGACTAGGCCAGATATTTCTTTCGCTGTTAGTACGGCTAGTCAGTTTCTTGATTCCCCTTGTGATTCACATTGGGATGCTGCTGTGAGGATCCTCCGATACATCAAAGGAGCACCAGGAAAAGGTTTGTTGTATTCAGATCAGGAAAATACAGAAATTTGTGGTTATTCAGATGCTGATTGGGCAGGATCACCCTCGGACAGGCGCTCTACTTCTGGCTATTGTGTCTTCTTTGGAGGAAACTTAATTTCGTGGAAGAGCAAGAAACAACCTGTTGTTGCTCGATCTAGTGCAGAAGCTGAGTATCGTGCAATGGCAAATGCTACCTGTGAGTTAGTCTGGTTAAAGCAGTTGATTCAGGAGCTTCATCTTTGTGAACAGAAACAACTCATGACACTCATCTGTGATAATCAAGTTGCGCTACATATATCCTCTAATCCTGTCTTTCATGAGAGGACCAAACATATAGAGATTGATTGTCACTTCATTCGAGAAAAGATTCAGTCAGGAGAAATCAAGACTGCTTTCGTCAACTCCTCTGATCAACTAGCGGATGTTTTCACTAAAGCTCTTAGAGGTCCTCGGGTCGAATACATTTGTAACAAGCTTGGTGCTCATAATATATACGCACCAGCTTGAGGGGGAGTGTTAGAATATTAGATATGATATGATTAGATATAATTGGATTCTGTCTTATCCGTAAATATTCTGACTGTATTAGGATTAGGTTTGGGTTTTTCACTTAAGCCCATTAGGGTCTCTATATATTGTAACTCTCTGACACAGATCAATACACAACATATTATTCTTCTATTATTTTATATTCAAGTTATTATATTATTTGTTATGTTATCAAACGCAATTCTCATTCTCGGAATAAAAATAGAACATGTTATCAAACACATTTTTTTTCTCAGAAACTGTTCCAAGTAGAAGAAATAGAAAAGAATTGTTTCTTTTCAGAAACAGTACTAAGGAATAGAATGGTTGTCATGCATACCCTTAGTGTTGCAGTTTTAGAAAGGCAAACTATAGCATATAAATAGTCTAGTATATTGTTTGAGAAATGTATAGAATTGAGAAGGAACGAAGTTTAGTAAAATTTTCATAGAAGATTGTTCTCTTTCTCCACAATCCTCATGATATTGTTGAATAATTGTTTTATTTGTTGGTTCTGCATTTGAACGATCCTACAGGATTGTCCTGTGACTCAACCACTTATGTTATATTGTTCTGTTTGTACAGTCCCTCGATATGTATCGAATGCGACTAAGGTCTTTTGACCGGCTAATAGTATATACTATTATAAGTTATTTCTCGACAGATCTATAATCTTGATAATCTCCTCTACACTATCTCCGGCCAATCTTAACCAGGGTGATATGATTCCCTACACGTATGCCACATGTTATGATTTTAGGCCTTGAACTTTTTGATTCCACTTATTACTTGGGCATTTTGTTATTGCGTTTGGGTAAAAGTTTTACGACAAGAGATTTCCCTAGTCCCAAATCAACAGTTTCTCAGTCTGGGATTGCACCTGATATTGAAAGAACTCCTCTAAAGACAATGGTCCTTTACCACTCCTTGACATGGTCCCAATTCCGCATTCGTTGGATACCACAATATTGACATGGACGTCCTTTATCACTAGCCCTGTGAAACCTTGATGGAGTAAATCTTTTTCCACACACGTAGGCTGTTACACTAATTAATACCCTATTTTTTGACTTGGAGAAACAGTTAAAACTAACAAATTATATATTCTCATGTTTTTTATAATATGATTAATCAAAACAATATTTTTATAGTTGTAGTTATCTTAGTAAAGTATCAAGTATTATTGTTGCAATATTTAACACATAAGGTGATGAGACAATTTGAAAGTTCTCTCTTTGAAGCCTCCCAGGACAACTCACTATATAACTAGAATCTAGAGCTCCTCTAGGCCCAATAGACTGAGAAATCCCCCGAAGAAAAAGGAAGAAGCGCTCAACGCGTTGATCAGTTGCTATTGAACTTCTTTCCTGACTCTACTTGTAAGAGACGTGCACGAGAATTTCATAAGCTATAGCAATAAAGAAACACGGTACCAAATTAATAAGCGGTAGCATATATAGGAACTTCGTATTTTTCCTCAACGATTCGAAGATGAATTAAAACTAACACTTTGATTGAGTTACCCGCATAGCCCGTTTAAGAATACAGAAATTGAAAATGCAATTATATGGGTCCCATTGGAATCCAATCTCATCCCCTTTCATGAGCTCTCTTCTTCTTACAAAATCTTGTTTCCACTTTCCAATGAGAACATAGCTCTTAGATGAAGACCATCGCTTCAGAACGAGTGGGTGCATGGAATTGGTGTCTATGTCCCGAACTCTAACTGGGGTTCCTTGCTCAGTTTCCGCGGCTCTTGCATGATCAACATCCAACATAGGCAAAATCTGCTTTTTGACCAAATATGAACCCAACAAGAGTCTGCTCAAGATTCCAAGATCACTGACAGTAAGTGTCTTCTTGATCGTCCACGGGTCATCGTAAAGCTTCAGTATGGTGGAGACTTCACTTTTGTTGCTGCAGAATCTTCTCCTTGAAGAGGAAGAGGCTTCCCAGCTTGTAGATTTTCTCTTCTTCTGACACTGCTCCCTTTTATCTGCAGGGTTGTTCATGTTGGAATTAAGTAGAAGAAGAAAGTCAATTTTGATGGTATTTGTGATTCTAAAATCGTAAGAAACGTTAAGAGGGGTTTGAGAGGCTGAGAGTTTACACTAGTGCAGTTTCTTTTACATTTTGTAGACGTTGTTAATTGTGAAATGGGAATAAAGGCTTTGTGTACGATGTTATTTGTGGAATGGGAATAAAGGCTAATTTCCTTTGTCTTTCTGCATATAAATGGACTTCCTGCATATCTGTGATCTGTCATGGCCTAAAGGCACGTATTTCGTTTTCAATAATATCAAATGGGCTAGGAATATCCAAAGTCATTCAACTTTCCTTCTTGGTAGTGATTTATTTTATTTTTTTTAAAATAGACAGCAGGATATTTTTATTCCAAATTAATTGGTTCCACAATGTTTACCTAAAAAAAAATTAGTTCCACAATAGATTACACATTAAGATGAAGGGAAAATTATATTTACAAACTTATTTTCGTTTACAATCTCTTAAAATTATATCTTAATCCGTTAATTTTTGTTAATCAATGGTTATCATTTATTATGAATTAATAATTAATTAATAAATTTAATTAGAGAAATCTTAACCGTTAATTGACAAAAATCAACCGTTAAGATATGGTTGTAAGAGATTGTAAACGAAAATAGATTATAAGTATAACCTTCTCCTGAAATAAATAACTAATAAATAAGAAAAGCTAGAGAGAGAATGAGAACTAACAAGACACCGACAATTCCGGCCATAGCTACGACTTCGAGGAGAGCTTCGGAATCATCCTTGTCGGCGGCACGTTGCAACTCCAGATCCGCCAAGCTGAGTTTTAATCTCTTTGGATTTTATATGAATTGGCTATTCCTATTAAGCATAGAGACAATTTGAATTTTCGTCAAATAGGGTGAAATAAGTTAATTGATTAACTTGCGTTTTCAATGGAAAAAAAAAAATTAAGGTTTTATCAATTAGCCCGTGTTATAATCAATTAAACAGGAATAAATTGGTAAAATATTTTGGGTTAAGGATAAATTGATTATTTTTTTATTAATGAGTAACACAATATTCAAAAAGCCTACATACTCCTGCTGCACAAAAATAAGCTCCAATTGCAGGTGGGCTTGCTCTTAGTGTGGGCATTGCTGTTAGTTTGCTTCTCTTGCTAACCTGCAACTCACCCTGGATCTATTGTTCTCTTTAGACAAACACGCCTTATTCTCTTTGTATTTTTTATTTTTTTTCGGTAAAATCTGTTTGTATTTTTGGAGCCCTGCTTGCGCGTTCATCTTATCGAAGTGGAGTGGCATTAAAACCGAATGTTTTGGGATCTTCAGCCAGTTTGGAATGCTCTCACTGAACTTTTTCACCGCAGTAATGCAAAAAAAACTTCAAACTATTTATCAATTCAATGTTAGTGAAAAGTATATGGAAAGTCAACATGTTTAAGTCAGTATCACCCTATATAGAACTTGTGTAAAAATCAAAATGTGCTACCACGTATCGCTCTCTACAAGAGGTGTACGGGACATGCGCGACTTGAATACGCATTGCCAAGATGTGCGTTTTGAACTGTGCCAACTTTTACATAAATCGTATATGGTGATAATACGCGACTTAAAAGCACAATCTCTGTACATATTTCACTCGTATTAAATTGGTAATTAGCTTGCAAAATGAATAAAACTGTTGAATTTTCTCTCATTTCACATTACATTGGTCAAAAGTCCTTAGACTCACATGTCGCTTATGGTAGTCAGCCGTGACGAAATCTGGACATTCACGAAGGACATAGATACCAGATGAGCATGTAATTCCACATTTTAGATAGCATTATATTGATCAGTCGTTGTCAGAATGAGAAAAAAATTACGAAAAAAAGAAGAAAAAAAACATTTCTGTGGCTGTTGAAACCAAAGAGGAAAGCAGGAATAGAAACTATGGACCATGCCAGAAACAATGAACTTTTATAGAATCTAAATACTACTTTTGAGTACGGTTCTTGCATGTTCGCACAAACTTTTGGGTAATTCTATATTACAAAATTAGATATACAACAAACAAAACAATTTTATTTAAATGTCATCAAATTTCTATTTGAATCCGGGCAGGATGACTATCAGATTAGTATATGAGAATTATGCACACAGCATTTTTCTCATAAAGAAGCTAAAATGTGACTCTAGTTTTCCTCTCTTGTGTAGTGTTGGGGGGAGTGTTCCTCTTACAGGATGTCCTTCCACCATTTTCATGGACCTTGGCTCACCTCAGCAAGATTGAAACAGTCTACATTTCTCAAGCAATGTTTCACATCAGTTTATATTATGGTGTGCTAGGGCAGCCAGAAAGCAGAGGAATCTTCATCGATTACTAGAGAGAAAAAGGTAAAATTAGTTCCTAAAAAATACAGATTAGTCATATTAATTTCTAATGATGAAAATTACCATCATGATTTCAGAATATGCATTTAATCAATCAAATTAATGTGTGAATTATTTATCGCATCTATTAAATTAGTCTTTGAGTTTCTGAAGTAATGACAAATTTAACCAAAGAAATACACAAAGCGTAATTTTCTTCATTCAAGAACCAATATAACCGACAACTTTTGACTATTTACTGGATAAAACTCGATTAACAAGTTTCAGGTATCGATGAATCGACCACAAAACTGAAAAGCTATATCTGAAGGAACAAACTAGCCACTATTAATGCTACTTTTAGATTTAATAGCTTCACTTGTACATTTTAGAAATATTGTAATAAAATCCAAACTTGCAATGAACGTTTCTTACAGAGAATCCTTGGATTCCGTGCCCCAGAAGCTTTCTTTGGATCTTTCACGTTAAGATAATGACAAGGAGAGCAGAGGGCATTGGGGAAGAAGGGACGAAACAAACTTTTGTTTTATACATACATAATGTTTCAAGGTTTTACAGATACATTTTATTTTTCTCTTTTTTTATATACTGCATTCACTTTCTGTTTTCTGTTATTTTTAGCCGTGTAATTTTTTTGCTCTTCTTTTTTGGTTGGATTCCCGCTTTTCTAGGGAGTTTGTTATTCTCATTTTCAGCTATATAGAGCTCCATTGTACAAAGTGAAAAGATGAATCAATATAGCAAAATGTTACTAATCTTCTTTTTTGCTTTATCCGTTCTTTATTTGTAAAATGGTATCAGTTGAGTATTGCAATCTTGCCCGTGTCCCTTTTCATGGCTCGTGGCAACGCTAATAATTCTTCCATCAACAATACTGGTGGTGTTGCTTCTTCCGGGTCTTCACCTTCTATTGAAGATTCCGGTAGCCCCTATTTCCTTAGCAATGGTGACCATCCAGGCTTGATTCTGGTAACTCATCCCCTTACTGGCCAAAATTTCAACTCCTAGTCCCGTGCCATGTTACTCGCTTTAACAACGAAGAACAAATCCATCTTTGTTGATGGTTCTTTGCATCGTCCTTCCTCAGATCATCTTATGTTCAGTGCTTGGAATCGTTGCAACTCAATGGTGATTTCCTGGCTTCTGAATTCCATTTCCAAGGACATCGCAGACAGTTTAATGTATTTTGACAATGCTTACGATGCCTGGAACGATCTTCGTACTAGATTCCACCAGGCCAATGGTCCTCATATATTTCAGCTTAAGCTGCAAATATCCTCCCTACAACAAGGTGCCTAGACCGTGAATGGCTACTATACTCGCCTGAAAACCCTTTGGGACGAGCTCCTTGATTACTCATCTTCTTATTCCTGCACTTGTGGTGCTCTCCGATCCATTTCTCATGATCGTGACCAGGACCACGCCATGCAATTTTTCATGGGGTTGAATGACTCATTTTCTTCGATTCGAGCTCAGATTCTATTGATGGACCCTCTTCCATCCCTATCCAAGGTTTTTTCTCTGGTTTTACAGGCAGAACGCCAACGTGAGATCACGACCTCTGTTCCTCTGTTCTTCGCACCACTAACATTGTTACTTTTTTTCTCATCTCACTATCTCCTTCAGGATCGTCTCTCAGGCAAGACGATTGGGATTACTAATCTTGTCTGTGGTCTATACGTCCTTGACTCTGCCAGTCTCCTACCTCCCAAGCTCGTCGCTCCTCCCATTTGTTTATCTGCTATTTCTCAAAATGTAGCCTTATGGCATTCTAAACTAGGTCATTTGTCTCTACCTGTTTTATCGTCAATGAAAACGCACTTGAATTTATCTTCTGTTTCTGACCATTTACATTGCAATATTTGTCCCTTGGCAAAGCAAAAACGTTTACCATTTTTATTAAATCCAAAATTGTCTCCTAAGCCATTTGACCTCATCCACTGAGATATTTGGGGCCCTTTTACCCCCATTTCTATTGATGGTTTTCGTTATTTTTTGACTCTTGTTGATGATCACACACGTTACACATGGGTTATTTTTCTCAAGCAAAAATCTGATTTCTCATTTGTCTTCAGTAATTTTTATACACTCATTCTTAACCAGTTTCACATCTCAATTAAATATGTTTGTTGCGATAATGCACCAGAATTTCACTTTCCTTTTTTTCTTCTAAGGGTATTACTCTTTTTCATTCCTGTGTTGAGAGACCACAACAAAATTCTGTGGTTGAGCGCAAACATCAGCTTATCCTGAATGTTGCGCATGCTCTTCATTTCCAGTCTCATGTTCCCTTCCCTTACTGGCAGGATTGTGTCTTAACTTCTGTTTATCTAATCAACAGAACAGCATCTCCCCTTCTGTCCAACTCAACACCTTTCACTCTTCTTGACAACAAACCTCCTCAATACTCTCACTTGCGTGTGTTTGGTTGCCTCTGTTATGCTTCAACTCTTTCAAGGTCACGTCACAAGTTTTCTCCTCGGGCTATATCTGTTGTATTTCTTGGTTATCCTCCTGGTTTTAAAGGGTATAAGCTCTTAGACATTCAATCCAATCGTGTTTTTATTTCCAAAGATGTGGTCTTCTTTGAATCTGTTTTTCCATTTGCTTCCTCTCCCATTACATCAACTCCTCTAATT